GCTTCTTCATTCAGATCAAAATGAGGTTATTGGACTCGGCCCTGAAAATCTTAGAAATATGGTATCTAAGCAGATCCTTACTCTGGATGGCATTACCTTGGCCTCCAGTAACACTGTGAGGAACCTTGGAGTCATTTTTGACCAGGACATGTCCTTCAACGCACATATTAAACAAATATGTAAGACTGCTTTCTTCCATTTGTGCAACATCTCTAAAATTAGAAATATCCTGTCTCAGAGTGACGTTGAAAAACTAGTTCATGCATTTATTACTTCCAGGCTGGACGACTGTAATTCATTATTATCAGGAAGTCCTAAAAACTCCCTGAAAAGCCTTCAGCTGATCCAAAATGCTGCAGCAAGAGTCCTGACAGGGACTAGAAAGAGAGAGCAGATTTCTCCTGTATTGGCTTCCTGTTAAATCCAGAATTCAAAATCCTGCTCCTCACATACAAGGTCTTAAATAATCAGGCCCCATCTTATCTTAATGTATAAAAAATAAATAAATAAATAAATAAATAAAAAAAATAAAATGACCTTGTAGTACCATATCACCCTATTAGAGCACTTCGCTCTCGCTCTGCAGGCCTACTTGTTGTTCCTAGAGTATTTAAAAGTAGAATGGGAGGCAGAGCCTTCAGTTTTCAGGCCCCTCTTCTGTGGAACCAGCTTCCAGTTTGGATTCAGGAGACAGACACTATCTCTACTTTCAAGATTAGGCTTCAAACTTTCCTTTTTGCTAAAGCATATAGTTAGGGCTGGACCAGGTGACCCTGAATCCTCCCTTAGTTATGCTGCAATAGACGTAGGCTGCCGGGGATTCCCATGATGCATTGAGTTTTTCCTTTCCAGTCACCTTTCTCACTCACTATGTATTAATAGACCTCTCTGCATTGAATCATATCTGTTATTAACCTCTGTCTCTCTTCCACAGCATGTCTTTATCCTGTCTTCCTTCTCTCACCCCAACCAATCACAGCAGATTGAGCCTGGTTCTGCTGGAGGTTTCTTCCTGTTAAAAGGGAGTTTTTCCTTCCCACTGTCGCCAAAGTGCTTGCTCATAGGGGGTCATATGATTGTTGGGTTTTTCTCTGTATCTATGAAGCGCCTTGAGGTGACTTTTGTTGTGATTTGGCGCTATATAAATAAAATTGAATTGAATAAAATTGAATTTAATTGATTTGAACAATGGAAAACTGACCAACTCCTTCGCAGTGAAAACTGCAATGAGGCAAGGCTCATTGCTGTCAGCAATCTTCCTGATCATCATGGACTGGATCATGAGAAGAACCACAGAGCAACACCGGTATCCAGTGGACCTTCACCAAACAGCTGGAGGACCTGGATTTTGCAGAAGGCATCAGCCTTCTGTCCCACAAGCAGCAACATGCACAGTCCAAGCTCACCCGGCTCGCTGAGGAGGCAGAAAAGACCGGCCTGAAGATCAACATCAGAAAAACAGAGGTGATGCAGCTGAACAACTGACAAAAAGATCCACTGCAGCTACTTGGTGGAAACCGACCTCTTCGTCTACCTAGGAAGCATAGTCAACACAGATGGCGGCGCAGATGAAGACATTAGGAGCCGGATCAACAAAGCAAGGCTTGCATTCAACTCCCTGCAACCAATCTGGAACTCCAAACCCCTATCCCAGCGCAGCAAGATCCGCATCTTCAACACCAATATGAAAGCAGTCCTCCTGTATGGGTCCGAGACGTGGCAGGTGACCAACACCATTACCAGCAAGATGCAGATTTTCATCAACAAGTGCTTGCGACACAGCCTTAACATCAAATGGCCTGAGAAGATCTCGAATACAGACCTGTGGAAGAGAACCAGCCAGAACCCGGTTGGTCAAAGCATCAAGAGGAGAAAATCAGGCTGGATAGGCCACACACTCCGAAAACCATCCAACAATGTCACAAGGCAAGCACTGAACTGGAACCCACAAGGAAAAAGGAAAGTGGGGAGACCCAAACAGACATGGAGAAGATCTGTCGAGAGCGAAGTGACGGCCGCCGGAATGACGTGGACCCAGCTGAAGAGAACAGCCCAGAACAGAGTCCGTTGGCGTGGTGATGTTGCGGACCTATGCTCCACCAGGAGTCTACAGGAAAATTGATTGATCGAATGATTCCGGATACATTTTTATGCTGTAAATAAAGTATATATTTTACCAGATTTTACATTTCTTTCTGTTCCCGTGATCATCCCCTGCTGCTGTTGCCGTTTTAGAAGGGGTTCCCTTCTAACTCAATTCAATTCAATTCAATTTTATTTATATAGCGCCAAATCACAACATAAGTCGCCTCAAGGCTTACTAACTAACTTACACAAGTGACAAGTACATGACCTAATTATAATAATACACTTCACAGCACCCAAACATTTGTGCGTGTACAACATTTTTAGAGGAAGATTATTAAACCTGTAACCCCATAATTAACCCTTTGGGTTTGTTCAAAATCACCACACTTTCAGCTTGTTCGTGGCCAAAAGTGACCACCAATTGATTAGGTCTGTAATTTTTATTATTTTTATGGGGTTTTTTGCCATTTTTTCTGCATAAAGGTTTTAACTAACTTCAGGTCTTTTCATAAATGTAAAATACTTATTACTGTTTTAAAATTTTAACCCTTTAAACATCAGTTTGTTTGTCCACTCTGCTAGGTGAAAGACACTGCGCTAGAGCTGTTGGTGGCTGTAGCTCAGGTGGTAGAGCAGATCTACTGATTGGAAGGTTGGTGGTTCGATTCCTGGCTTCCCCTAGACTGCATGACAAATATCCTTGGGCAAGATACTAACCCTAAATTGTTTTTCGATGCCTCCATCGGAGTATGAATCTGTGTGAATGTTAGTTAGAAAGCACTTAGAAAATGTGCTTAAAGAAAGAAGCACATTCCTCTGTTGCTTTGGCATGTGGGATATTGCCATGGTAGTTTTGGTGAAGCCAAAGACAGACAACAAAATCTTCTTCTGTTGCAACTGGAGGAGCTGGGGGGGAAGCTCTGGGTTGTTTCCCCTGTGCATGTTTTCATCTGAGGAGTTCCTCTGCCAAGGTGCCCGAAGGAAAGACGTTGTCCTCGGAGCTCCTCCGTCAGTTGGAGTCTGAACCCCTTTCCCTTTTTAACTTCCTGAGAACTTCCAGTGTTGTCATCCAACATGCTATGCATTGCTTTATTCTGGTTTAGGCTCACATCTTCACTTCATCTATAATCCTCCAATCCTCACACCTTGGCTTCACGTGCAGCTTTGTAAGGTGCACAGCAGCTAAAAGATGTCCTTTGTTATAAAAAAGTCAAAAGTAGATCTCAGGCTGCTAATGCAGGAAACTGCATACAGGCTGAGCCCTGGTTTGATACCAGTGGGTACTGGATTGTAGAGCAGTCTCTCTTCAGTGGTGGGACCCACATGGTTTTTCTTTCATGAGGGATCCACTCAGTCACCGGCTCCTCGGTTTCAGAAAATGCTCCTATGTTCTTTTCCATCAGCTGCTCGGCCTCCACCTCCATGCCCCCCAACCCCAATCTTCCCCCAAAGAAGAGGATTCAGGCACTGGCTAGTACTCTTCATCAGTGGTGATGCAGTCAGCCTCTTTGGAGATTGGCCCCTCATCTTCTGGAGAGGAAGTTTCTTCATCTTGGGCAGATGACTTTTCTTCAAGGGCAGAGGACTGCTGCTGTCCTTGCTCTCTGACCAGATCATACAGACAGTGCTTGAAGCAGTGATGACCTTCTTGCCATATTGCCAGAATAAATGATCTGGAAGCTGTTAGGCTTACTTACAGCAGTAGCTCTGTCTGCACCTGCAGAAACTCCAGGACACGTTTACAGTGTTTGTTGTTGTTTGCGCTGCAGCTGCAGCTGCAGGTTTGAACTCTGCAAAATGTCCTGTGATTGGGTTTGTTTTTGTTTCTAGAGTTAATATTTTGGGTATGGTATCTTTTGATGAAAAATACAAGAGTAAAAGTGCTTTTAACATGTGCTTCAAAGCTGAGTTTGACTGGGAAACTCAAAGCTCAACAGCCTGCATCCACAGAAACTCACTGCAGCCTATGTAATGTTTGATGCATCATTATTTATTCCAGTCTATCTTGCAAATACATGTTTGTGCTGCAATGTCATGCACAAACACAAACTATTAGATCCTTAAGATCAAACCTGTGTCAAAATTGTGTCATTATTTTGGTCCATTGGAGTGAGGTAGGCCATCAAAGGCCACTACTAGAAACTCAGAATATTACATGAAATTGCTTGTTTGGCCAAAAATGGGTAAATGATGTAATTTGGTAAAAAACATTAAAAACTACAATTTTCATGTGTTGACTTCAGAATGAAAGCAATTCTACCTAAATCGCACGATATAGTACTGTCAATAACAAGGAATCAAAAAAGGTGGTTATAATGGATTTCAATTGGCCAAAAATGGCCACGATAGAGTCAAGAGGAACAATTTGGTGTATAGTGAATATTATTGATCTTATTAAGGAGCTGATGTTGAAAATTAAAAAAATATAGACCTTTGGGAAGTTTCATTCCATTTGCATTAACAGAGCGAAAATGGTTAAAAAAAGAAAAGTGAACAAATAGCCAGGATAGAGCCCAGAGGGTTAAAGCTAACACAATGAACATCTTTTTAATTGGGAAAAAAATAACAACATTATGGAATAAAAATAACAAAAATAAAACTCATTAACTAAAAACACAAAAACGGGATAGAAATATTATACATATCAAATATTTATGAAAGGCTATCAAGGATGATCATTTTATAAGAAGATATTTTAAAAATGATCTAATTTCAATGGGCAGACTTTTCCACTTTTGTTTGCTAACCTTGAAATAAAGAGCAAAGCAAATGCTTAGGCACACGAGGGGTTAGGCATTAATAATTAACTGATGTACTTCTGAGCCAGCCTCTTTAATACTTTGAAAATGGGAACGTTTTGAAAGTCATAATGGATTTTAACAGATTAAATCTTTCCATTACAGATATGGTACCTGTGATTCGTCCGCTGTGCTCAGTCAGCTCATGGATCTTGACCCAGTCTTTGCCATTCTTTTCATAGATGTTCACCGCATTGTTGTTAGGACTCACAGCAATCTCTGGAAGCAAATATGTCATCACTTTGTTTCAGTAGTCAAACAATAATGAAGAAATATGAACCACAGAAAGGCATTTATGTAAGAAACATCTAAGAGAGATATAAAGAGATATATATAAATTCCTCTCTCTTGCTTCACATACATACATTGTCATATATGTATATATATATATATATATATATATATATACACACATATATATATACTTTTTTTTTTTTTTATTCCCTCTCGCCCCTGCGGGCGGTTTATCCTTCAAGCTCGGGTCCTCTACCAGAGGCCTGGGAGCTTTAGGGTCCCGCACAGTATCTTAGCTGTTCCTAGGACTGCGCTCTTCTGGACAGAGATCTCCGATGTTGTTCCTGGGATCTGCTGGAGCCACTCGCTTGGGAGTCACTGCACTGAGTGCTCCGATTACCCTGGGACCACTGTTACCTTCACCCTCCACATGTTCTCCAGGCCTTGGGACCTCTCCAGCTTCTCGTGTTCCTTCTTCCTGTGCTCTTCCATGTGCTGGATTGTCTCTGGGGCATCTTTACACAGCCTGCACCTGGGGTCTTGCCTGGTGTGATAGACCCCAGCCTCTATGGATCTTGTGCTCAGAGCTTGTTCTTGTGCTGCCATGATTAGTGCCTCTGTGCTGTCTTTCAGTCCAGCTTTGTCCAGCCACTGGTAGGATTTCTGGATATCAGCCACCTCCTCTATCTGCCGGTGGTACATACCGTGCAGGGGCCTGTCCTTCCATGATGGTTCCTCGTCTCCCTCCTCTTTCTTGGGTTTCTGCTGCCTGAGGTATTCACTGAGCACTCGGTCAGTTGGGGCCATCTTCCCAATGTATTCTTGGATGTTCGTTGTCTCATCCTGGACTGTGGTGCTGACACTCACCAGTCCCCGGCCCCCTTCCTTCTGTTTAGCGTACAGCCTCAGGGTGCTGGACTTGGGGTGAAACCCTCCATGCATGGTCAGGAGCTTCCTGGTCTTGATGTCAGTAGTTTCTGTCTCCCCCTTTGGCCAGCCTATTACCCCAGCAGGCTACCTGATCACGGGCAGGGCGTAGGTGTTGATAGCCTGGATCTTGTACTTGCCGTTCAGCTGACTCTTCAGGACTTGCCTGACCCTCTGCAGGTACTTGATCGTTGTATAACATGCCTCATTCACCTGTTCACACCCATTCATACAAGCAATTTCTTCTACACCCAAGTGCTTTCTATATAACATTAAAAAAAAGGTAGTGAAGTGCAATGTTATTCAAAGGCCCAGATCACCTCCAGGTGTATACATACATGTATGCATTAAAGCTCTCTGAGTCAATTTCCTGTACTGATAATAAGATTGCCAACGTTTCTCTGAACCACATTAATGCAATCCATATATGTGCATTTATGTGTGAGCTACTCTATATATGGAAATGGAGCATGACTATTTTTTCTGGTATTTCACCTACGGGTCCTATCTTTGTTCCAGGTATGGCAGGACAGCGGCTCCAGTCCAAAACTGTACAGCGACATGTCTGAACAGAGGCAAGACAGACTGCTGGAATGCTGCTGCTGTCACAGTTGTTGTAAAGATGGGCTGCTGCATGTTCCAGGATGAAAGGGAGAGAAAAAACAGGGTACACTTTGTTTGAGAAACAGTTTTCTTAAATAAAGCAGAAATGGTTCGTTGTTTATACTTTTCTCTGTTTGAGGGTTTTATTAGAAATCAGGTTTCAAGAAGGGACTCTGGAATAGCTTTAGTGTAATTGATAGTTAGTTGAATGAATAACGACTGGGAGATAACAACTTTATCAGATCTAATGCAGACAAATCTGGAGGTGAACGACAGACTTGTCAGCGTTTGTTTCTGAATACACAACAACAGACTACACTGAAAAAGTTTTAAGCCCAATAACATATCACCTAAATTCCAGCTTCTACTTTTGTTCTGTTTAAACAATCTGAAACTTAACAAGTTGCTCAGATTTGATACAAAATAATTAGGGCTGAAATTATTACTTACCCTGTGTCTGTGTGGTCAGGTAGTAGAAGAGCGTTCAGAGTTGTACTCATGAGACTGTCTGCACGACAGGAGCTGTGCACTGTGTCCTGGTGAAGAATATGACTGTGTTATTGTTGAAGGGAGTGAAAGAACAGTAGGTGTGTCTACTGATAGCTGTTGAGCAAGCTTGCCTGCTCAGAAGTTTGCTGGGAGCAAATGTCTCCAATTCGCTCTCAGCACAGGCTGGTGATCAGCAGTTTGACTAAATGCTTCATACAAAAACATCTACTTCATTCATTCTTTGGGACTTACTTTGATTTTTGGGGGATGAAACTGAATGAAAACTTTCAATGTTATTTTTATATCCTGCCATTATTATAAATCTGACCACGAGTAAAGCTATTTTAAATCCATATGTCCAAATATGAATAATGGGGATCATTTACGTACACATTCATCGATTTCAGCTTTAAAAGCTCCCCTCAGCTCTTAGATCATAACCTTGTGTTTTGGCTGCAGGTCCAGGTCCATATGGGACAGCTTGTGGGTCTGGATCCAGACCGCAGTCCGCCTGTTAGTGACCTCTGGTGTATCAAATAACTGTAACTTTTTATCCCCTGTTTTGTTTGGACTTTTGATTAAGGTAAATATGTTTAACAAATAAATGAGCTAAAGTGTAAACCTCTTTGTTAGGTCCTTTGTGGTCTTTACATGTAATGCTTTATTGAGCACTTCTAAATTTGTTTATATAGTACAGAATGAATGGATGAATTACAAATATGTGCATTGACCCTCTGGGGTCCAGGGTTTCATTGACTGTTTTTCACTACTTTATATTTCAACCGATTCATCCGACTCCTGAATTAGATTCATCTTCAAAGTGAAAGAAAGCAAAGTGCCCCAAAGTCATACTTCAATGAACATACCTAAGTGGGCATGCAACCCGGAGACTGGAGCAGCCGGGGATTGGATCTCCAACCTCCTGATTAGTAGATGACTTACTCTAGTAAGTCGTGTTCTTCTTTTCAGCTCGGGATGGTAATTGGGCGATGTGTCATTTACCTATACCCTAACCCTATATTATCTAACCATATGTTACTCTGATGTATATCATTTGGTGCAACCATCAATTCAAATCTGATGTTGTTTGGGACTCCAAGATCAGGCAGACCATCCTCAGAAACCCACTATGACCGAATGTCCCTGACACAGATAGTGGAGTGCTTGTCCACTGTACACGGCTAAAAGCATGTTAATAGCATTTATCAGGAACTCAAAGGGACTGTGGATTACAACAATGGAGGCCAACTCCAAGCCAATCACACAAGTCACCATCAAGTATGTACCAAGGTGATGCACTGTGTCCATTGCTGCTCTGTATAGGCCCCTAAGCCAGCTCATAACTAAGACTGGGACCACATTTTCATTTTAGGTTTGACAGCATTTCTAGTAAATAATGTCAGGTGGCTTGAGCATGAATTGAGACTGCGGTGTGGGGAAGGCTTCAGATGGGACTGGTGGCAGCTCTCGGGCAGATAAACAAAGAAGGCACCCCTTAGAAGAAGTAATAACTGTTAAAGATTGTTGTAAATATATAACCGGTAGGCAGGTGTGCAATGATGCGATCACTTTGAATTGTCTTTGTGCTGGTTTTCATCTTTGTTTTGTGCAGTTGACTTCATGTTCATACTTAAATACTAAGAGAAAATGTTAGGTTTTGTATTGTTGATTGTCATTTATGCTTAGAAATATTGAACCATATATGCTTAGAGGTGTATAATCAATTGTGTAGTGATAGGACTGTGATCTTTAGCAGGCTGCAAAGGCTTGGTGTGTATTCCACACTAGAATGCACACCCACAGTCTAGGAACATCAGAGAGGTCCTATCTTCTCTTTGTTGATATATGGTATAGCAAACACACGTATATCTCTTTAAGTATAAGAGCCTTTTGTTTAGATAGATCTGCTAGACGCCTGGCACCAGCTTTGGGGAGTCTTCACAGGGTCACATCTTGACCTCACACAAATCACACCACACACACACACACACACACACACACACACACACACGCAAGGTACTCTTTGTTTGTATGTAGATGTCATATGTTAATGAACCGATGCATATTCATGTGACCTCAATAAAAGGGCAGTGTTACGGGGGAACGGACGAGAGCAACTGGGGTCAAGCGAAAGAACGGCGTTTGTCCGGTCTCTCCCGTGCACGAGAAACATGAAGAACTGTGCCTACTCGTGTCTTGCTTTGCTGTGTAATTATATTGTCTTCAACGTTCCAGCGGATAGGTTCAAGCTACAAACCTATCATTAATTGGTCCTTCGATGTCGGATCCCTGGAGTCAACATTCACCGAGAACGGGCACGCTGAAAGACTGACGTCAGCCAGGAAGTTCCTGTGGATTAACTGTCTATCTTTTCTCCTCGATGAATGACGATCGGCGGGATTCGAGGCTATATTACACGCTAAGCAACGTCGAGTAAGTTGAGAGAGCGACTCTATAACCGCAGAACTGGGTTAGTGTCCCGAAAAAGAGGTTTTGAAATTTGAAAATGGGTGAGCGTCCCACAACTGGGTCAGGGTCCCGAGAGGTCCGGTGTGAGTCCGGAGTAGGCCTATTTTGTGTTGTTGTCGTTGTTGTCATCGTCGTTGTTGTTGTGTGAGTGTGTGCGGAGCAGAACACGTGGTCTGTGACACCGACTGTTGTTGTTATCATGGGTTTCTTAGCAACCAAGAGTGAGTCGGAGGGAGACAGACGTTTGTGCTGGACTTTGCTCCTGGCAGCACAAAGTATTTAAATAAAAATGTGAGAGAGCGAAGGCTCAAAAGCTGCGCGCGTTCACGCGAGCACGGTCGCGCGGGTTTCACGCGGACCTGAGCCGTGCGGTCAATCGCAGGCTTATAAATGGAAGAGATTCAAATGTTAGAAGTTTTCAGAAAACACACCAGCCTCGAAGACCGTGTGGAGAAGGCCTGCCACATCAGCAGCACTTGAGATGTGCTGTGGTGAATGGCTTTCCCTCCACCCCTTGCTGACACAAAATGTTTATTCTTTAACTTGCCCTGATCGACAGCAGCCTGTGTGCCAGACCATAGATTTAATTGAGGTGGATAGTTGTTAAAAGTAATCTACATTAAGCTTGTGGTTGCTCAAATTCAGTACAATGACATATGAGGAGAAGTGATATAGGCAAATATTTAAACTAATGAAGTGCATAGAGGCACTTGACCTGTGTGGAAGACTGTCGTCTTATTATGAGCCATTGTTGAGATATACAGCACACCTGTGAACACAACTAATATGCTGAACCCTGTATGAAACATCTAAAAGTACATGATGGAGAAGCTGAATTGAATATGAAAGTGTAAGACTTTGCCGCTGTGGGCAGAGCATGCAACTACTGTGTGATGTTGCGTTGCAGTCTCTTCTGGGCTGATGAGCAAGCTACACATTATCAGATCGAGAGCTGTCTGAGAACTACTCAAAGAAAGGGAAACAGAGCTATGATAACTGTGATAACTGGAATGTGCAGCGTTTCCGTGAGCAGTTTTCCTGCATCTTGACTCATGTGTGTAGAGTGTTCATAGCATCAGCATCATGTTTTTGTTATTTGTTTTGTTGGGTCGAAAATAATTAAATAAACTTGTGGTCATGCCTATGGTGTCACGGCTGCCGAGGCGAGCCGTGTGGAGTTGGAAGAAGGAGGACCCAAGATGCAGCAAACTGATGACAGAGTGATGTTTATTTACAAGGTGGTGGTGGCAAAAACAGGCAACTCAGCATGAACAATTACAAACGGAAACCTAAACTGGGAGAAACTAAAGAGCAAACCTTATATCTTACAAAAGGGGTGCGGGGCAGAGAGACGCAGAGACAGGACACCATGGAACGCAGATGAATGCAGAGACACACGGAGGAACGCAGACGAGCCGACAACGAACACAGACCGACACCCACTATATATACACACACACACACGGTAATCGGGTGATCGCACACAGGAGGGAAGAACAGCTGATCTGAATACACGTAATGACTGGAGGACACAAGCTGAACACAATGACACAGACACAGACCTTCAGAATGGAACAGGAAATCCAGAACATGAGCCTTCAAAGTAAAACAGGAAACACAGACTGATTTACAACACTACACGGGGACATGAACAGAGCACCAAGGACAGACACAGGTAGGGCTGACAATACACCAAACTTCAGGTTAACCCCTAAACTAATACAAATCAGAATAAACACAAAACGCTGGGTCAACGACCCAGGACCATGACATATGGATTACTATGGCACATATCACCAGCCACATGATTTATTTATGCAGATGAAAAAGTGAGTGTGAATGTGTTTGACGTCACAGTGTTTTTGTGCACTGTGTAAAAGTAATTGCCTCAGATTGTGAGAGCGGTAATTCTGCAGGTCACCAGCTATTGTAAAGAAAAGAAAAAAAAGAGTGAAAAAGAGACAAAATTTACATTGTAGATGGAAAATAATTATAGGAAAAAGGTTTTGTGTTGATCAGCCAAGAACAACTACAATCTTATTTTCTGCTTTTAAGAAAGGATTGTTCACAAACACACACAGAGAGAGAGAGAGATGTGTGTTGATTAAGCAGTGATGATAATAATGAACATGTCTTAGTTTGTCACTTTCAGGTGAAAAGCAGACCTGAATCAATTCTCCACGGGCAGCAGTCGGAAGAAAATTATAGGTTGAAATCATTAGAAAAAATAGAAACACCCAGCCAGAATTTTTTTGGCTGAATTGTTTTGCAGCTTCCCGTCCTCATCCTGAACAAGCAAGCTCCAAGGAAACTAATCTCTCCCTGAAGACACCGAGTGCAGTTTCAGAAGCACGAGCATGAACATCAACAGTGGACAGGAGTCCAAGAGACAATACCAGAGTCCTGAGCAGAGAGGTCCAGCAGCGCTGTGGGCAAACGGCATCAGAAAGAGAAGAACCACCATCTAGATTGGATGGATGGAGATGCGTTTCCAGCCAGCTGCAACCTCACTGTGTGTGAAGGACTTTTGAGAAGACTGTCTGAGTTTGATATTTGCCATGTTTGGAGCGAGATGGCAATA